GAGCCAGCCAATATGCTAGCATACATGCTTGTGTTTCAGCATATGAGAACAGAAAATCAGCCAAGCACAAAAATATCTGTGGGCCGTTGTTTTTTTGGGGGAAGGTACTTCGGTTTTTGTGTACTCCACTGTTATATTTATAGGGTCTGAAGAAATTAAGTCTTATCTTCAAATGTAATTACTGCAGAAGTCATAGAAAATGGGATTTTCAAAGCAGCTGAAGGAAATTGAGGACCCAGTTCTTAGTAGGTAGAAAAGTAGTATACTGAGTCCCAGTCCCAGCCTCAAACATGCCACTATCAAGGAGRGATCTATATGGGACCGTTCTGTTACTTGACACAGGTTTGTTATAAGTTAGCCAACTGAAAATGTTTTTGCAATACTAAGTGGTCTTCTGTAATGAAATACATCATATCAAGTTCTGTTTGTCATGGGAAATAATGGGGGTTTTAACTTCCACAGGGGCAAAGTTGTTGGGTTTTGTTTGGTTGTTTTGTTATTTTTTTCCTGAATAGTGTTATGGGCCAAATGCTCAATCCTTTCATGTGAAAGGGGAAGTTTGATTTAAATGGGACCAGAATGCATGGKTATGTGCTAAATCAGATATTTTTAAATGCATGCCACTTGAGATTGCGGAAGAAAAAACATGCTCATAAATATTTGTGATTTGTTTGAAGTCAGAGCACATTTCTCTCTGTGGGTCTATTTATAGCTTCAGGATAAGAAATTCTTAGGCTTAGTAGCAGGAACTGATGAGTGAGACTTTCACATAGTCGGAAGAAAAACATGAGTTGTAATTTTCTGTTTCCTCAGACTAAAGAAAATTCATGAGTCTTGTAGCTGGGATATAAAATTGATCTTGCTTACTTAGGAGAGCCTTTATCACAAATGCAGTTTTCCACTTGAGCRTGGTATCTGTAGTACTCAAAGTCAATTCTCACAGAATATTTCTCATCTCTCTTTATCTCTTGTTAAAATAGACCTTTGATTTTGCCAGTGACAACGATTAGATCATAATCTAATATTCTGGTATTTTTAGTTTTTATTCTATTGCTATATTAATACCAGGAACACAAATGGATTTTTTTTTTTTTTTTTCTGTTGGAATCCAGTTGCATACAATACCAGCAATCAACTTCTATACCAAAGCAGTGACAGTTGCAATAATGAATATTTGCTGCAGGCCACTGGTATGAAAATAGAACAGTGCTGCAAGCCTGCGTCACCAGAAACAAATCTTCCATTTGACTGTGACTGAATTTCCAGCTCAATTTTAGATCATTTATCATTGAAAYAGCTCTTAAAGCACTGTCATAACATAATGTTAAGAAATGCTGATTCAGTCTACAAGGCACGAACTCAAATGTCTTCATAGTTCTTTTTGGTGTTGATTTTTGTTTCGGTTTTTTTTAATCCCTTATACCTTAAATGCTGTATTTAGGACAYTGAACCGTGGACAGGCAGCAACACTAATATATTCAAAGGGATGCCTGCTAGTTAAAAGTTAGAAGGTTAGAAGTTCTTGAGGGAAAAGGAATTGAATGCCCTCTTTGTAAGCTTACTTGACAGCTTTTACACTATTATATCCTTAATTTCTGCTGAAAATTCTAAACAGTATATGAGGAACAGTTTGCATCTTTAAATGTGTCACTGCTTTTACATGGTGAACYTGGATGGCTTTCTATATATGTTTTAATGCCATTAATGTATTTGCATTAGTAGAAAATCAAATGTATTCATATAGGGCACCTTTTAAAAATGCAGAATATATGCACTGAACTTTGATTATTTTTTGAGATGAAGAATATGCTGATGACATTTACCATTTTTAGTTTAATTTTTAYATACTATGCTGCTTTCATGCGTGCATCTCAAAATACCCTAAAAATATCCAAAACAGCTAACATAATTGATTGCATTTTCTTTTCACTTTAAAATAATTACATGGTGAACTATTAGATCAGCATAGATACAGAAGGTCAGATTCTTGAAGCAGAATAAAATCTGCTGTTATTTAAGCTATTTTTTTATTTCATTCATAGCCTCAGGTTTTCCTATGGAAAATAAAAAAAAATTGTGGTCTATATTTTGCTTAGGGGTAAATAATGACCCTTACGCTGCAAAGCTGGTAATGGTGATTGATGTACTTATCTAATTTCCTGCAAGATTAGAATGAGCACCAACTTTGCCATCAATCCTGAGAGAATGTTAATGTCCCTTTCCCTTCCCTGGGCCATCTGCTCTTTGCCTTCCATTTCACCARGAGAGGACAGTTGATAAACCTACTGTACAATAGTACCGGAATGTAGAAAKAGATGTTTTAAAAGGAGTGTTCATGCTTTTAAAGCAATGGGRTTTGGGCAGGGATTGGGCTTTTGAGGAAAATCATTTCACTGCAACAGTTTCTGACTGAAGGCACACAGACGTTCAGTGGATTCTCTGGGATGGGAAAGGAGTGACTAGTTAACTCTGCAGTTTTGTGGACAGTTCTTCAAAGACTTTATTTGTTCATCAGTTTCCCAAGAAAAGGCTTCATATTTAGAAATAATGTTTTTCTTTTGAAACTTATTTTAAAAAATCATAAAAAAGAACTATTCAGCAAGGTAACACCACTCTTTCTGCATCAGTATTTGGTATCCCCAGTACCTTCAGGCAAACTTTCAGGAAAAAAAAAAAAAAGCAAACTGTGATTTGACCTTGAGTGGAACCATGTTTTTTGCTATATGCTTTAATTCTTGACAATACATAGAATATCCACATGACAAATTCTGCTTAACTGGTTTTATGAATGACAATTTTTAAAAACCCTCTGGGAGAGTATGTAGAAACATTAAGCATTGTGCATTTTGTAATAGAGCCTAAAGGATCATRTTCCCACTGACTGAAAGGGAATCATATTTGTGCAGATATTTGTTCAGCAAGCTTCAAGTCCTCCAGCAGGAAATATTTCTGGATCTGTGTAGGTAGGCTATTCCCAGGCTTCATAAACTTTAAAATTAGAAAGAGTTTCCTCCCATCTAATCTAAGTCTCTCTTGATATAATCCAATAGTCCTTGTTCTACTAGGAGGGATCATGGAGAAGAGTACATTMTTTTATTTTTAGCTACCTTCTAAAGATATGAAAAATGTTATCAGTGTTTCCCTTTTTCTTCTATATTCACATTTCATGTTTTCTAAACTTCTAATTTATTTTGGCTCCCTCCATCACAAATCCTCTCTTGTTGCTTTGCATTTGTATTGCTTCTGGATTAAAGCAAAGCAAGTAATTGTTGGGGGTTTTTTGACATTGCTGTCCCCAGGCTGGACGCAGGGCCTCCAGAGCTGATTAGAGGAGGAAAAAATACCTCCTAAAGCTTTTGCTTTGCACTTTCAGTGTTATGGGGACCTGTTTTATAACACAATGGTAGAACAGATATGTGTTAATCTTGCCTGCTACTGAAAGATTTTCTGGAAAACCAAGCAAATAACCAAAGAAAAAAATCAAAATGAAATAAACAATAAAATCTCTCCAAAGGTAGTACTGGGGCTGTGGTTCATAATCTTTTTTAGTAGATCAGATTAAACCTATTGAGTGTAGATCCCTGAAATTGTCTTTACTAAAAAGCAACTCATTTTCTAGACTGTTGCTTCAATGCATTAAAATTGTTTTGAATCAGGTCTCTCCAATTGTTTGCCTTGCTTCCATCTTGACATTGCCTGCTAGGCTGTTAAGAATGTTCTCCATTAACTAAGTTTTCAAACAGTACTAGTCTACAGTACTATGGCATCAGGTAGTTGGTCCCTTCTGCATTGGAGCACATCCTTAGCTCTGTAAGTGAAAGAATTGTTGTTTTGACTATTCTAATAAGCAGTGATAAATTAAGCGTAGTACAGGTAGAGCATCACTAACAGCAAGGGATGTATGAAACCAAAATGAGCTGTGCTGGAAAGTACCCAAATCCAGGCACTCCTCAGTAAAGTACCCAAAATGTCTTTTGGGAAAGCTACAAATCAGTAGGTTTAATAGGAAAAAACACATCACTGCTAAGGCAGAGCAGCTCCTGTCCTTTGTCTCCTTCTCATGTCCCCTACCCAYCATCTTCTTCACTGCCTCAGCACTAGATCTGGCTGTCCTCTGCCCTGCTAAGTAATCARCAATCACAAGATACTGCTTTATCCAAACATCATGTTTATATTATTCAAAGTACAATATAATTGTGTATTTTCTCTCWCTTTGATTTGAGAACTACAGAAAAACCACAAGTTTTTAGGTGCAAGAACTAGGTTAACAAACAGACTTAGGTATATATCTTGTTTGTAGTTTACTGATATGCAGAATTAAAATCTTATTAGTGTTTGTTCAGGTCTCACATATGGAATGTTGTATATTTAGTTACTGTTATTARTATGTATCATTATAATATAATAATGGATAAATAATGTGTACTGWGTATTAATAATTACCTTCATTCTTTTAGCGYTAGTGTTGGGAAAAATCAAATGAASTRTCAATTTAATTTTTACCAGATATAAAGGACAGAAAATTATTTTCATTTTAGTTTTATTAGTACAAGTTGTTAAAACTTGTATTTAAAGCCTGTATAATCTATCAACGTAAGTATTATGTGTTACTATAGCTGTTTATGCATTTGAAGTGGTGTGTATAAATTTTAACTGCCYATTGTGCTGGCCATTTACATGACTTCTTTTATTTCATTATTCTTCTGTTGTACAGTACAATCTTAATGACCTCTTTATTCAGTTTATGAGTTCTGTGTTAGCAGACTGCAGGAKACAACACATATTGTTTCAATACATGGGAGTACTTTATTTTGTAACCACGCGAAATACAAAGATTGAGGTCAGGTTTAGTTCATCACCATTAGCCAAACCATCAGCAGCACAATCTGCCTCTCTGCGCCATCACAGCATTGGGATGAAAACAAACAAACATCAAAGGTCACACAATTTTTTGTTTGTTTGTTTTAATTTTTCCTTCCATCTCCTCTCTTTGCCCACAGAYGCTAACACAGGGACACCAGCAATATCAACGACGACAACCGTGGAAATCCGGAAGAGCAGYGTTATGACAACTGAGATCACCTCTAAAGTGGAGAAAATCCCCACAACAGCCACTAGCAGCAGCACTTGCCCTTCCATTGAGACTGAGGAAGAAAAAGCAAAAAGACTGCTGTACTGTTCACTATGCAAAGTCGCTGTCAACTCGGCCTCACAGCTGGAGGCGCACAACAGTGGTGAGATGGAGCAGTGCTTGCTTACTTCCTTTTTTTTTTCTTCTGTCTCAAGAGGGCTGCAATTATCTTCCCCTGAATAGATTAGATCTCTTGCAGCAGGGGACAAAGAGGTGGCAGAAAACTGGCAATTACATGGAATTCATTAACTATGAAAGTATAAAAATGACAGGCAAAGAGGCTTTCAGAAAAGGCAAAGAAAGGAATTTATTGCATGCAAGTTGCACATTTTCTTACACTTTGRCTTTTGCAGCTTCAAAACCTTGTTGAGCTAAATGACAGCTCTGCTTCATTACCTTTGGTGTTAAGAGTTTGTATAGTTTGGCTTGTGCCAACTAGCAAACTGAGTATGAATGCCATTAGCTTTGTTTGAAATCTAACAAATTAAGGCTGAAAGAGGGAGCATCAGTCAGACAGAGTTCAATGATGGGAGTTAGAGTTCTTAGCTCTGTATTGTCTGCTAATAAATAACTCATTAAAATTATTTGTATTTTCCCTTTGTTTTCATCAGCTGATAGCAGCTGCTGCCTGAGAGTTGAATGGGTGATTGCCTACCTCCATCTTTGTTAATTTTTAAACTTTTTCGATCATTAGAACTAAGAGCATCAGTAAGTTCCAGGAATAGAGAGCCACGATTCCCAGTCACTATTTTGAGCATATTATTGATTGTCTCTGTGGTGGGTGGGGTTAAAAGATCTAGGGATTTGATATGGTGGCAATAACCACCTATAACCATCCTACAGAAAGTTCCTGTTTCTGGATGTAAGGGGTTACCACCATCAAGGGTAAGTAGAATTAAGACACAGAAAGAGAAACTTAAGTTTGAAATGTAGAGACAGTGATAACACACCTAGACCAAAATGACCAATGGTTTTATGATGCAATGAAAAAAAGAAATAACTTTGGCATATCTATAGAACTCAAATTGGAACAGAAATTAYAACTTCTTGGCATTCATGAGAAATAAAATTCCATCAGTTTTRTATGCTGTTTACTGTTTGCCAGATCTTTAACTGGTGAAAATTGAACTTCATAAAGATGTACTCTTTTAAACTCACTTTATACGAGGGTTTGACTCCAAATATTCTGATCAGCCTGAGAGCCAAAACACTATTCTGAAYATTTAAACACAACCCTCCAAGCTTTTGCTGCCTATGCTGATGAATTGTGTGTGTGCTCACGCACATGTATGTTTTTAAAAATGTCTATTTGGATGCATGCAGCAATTAGCAGTGGAATGGTGGTTCTGTACACAGTAAGAAGTACTTTATTATCACTACCTGTGTGGGGGTCAACAGTGGAAGAAATTGTTTAGTCTGAATGATGGTAGGACCAGCAACAGAACACTAGTGTTTTGCAACCAACCTCTATTTAAAAAAAAAAAAAAAAAGTGCATTTTTCTACATGAATGTTTCTCACATGTTTTGGTTTCAGTTCAGAATTAATTCTTCCACATTAATGATCCACCTCTGCCTCTTTCTGGTTTGGAGAGTAATTAGTTAATTACAGATTTAATTGTAAACTACCTAGACATACTCTTTATCAATCTGTTCAGAAGGACTACAAATCAAAGCCAAGTACATCTTTAATAGCTAAATTACTTTTCTTTTGCAACTACAATTCAGGTCTTATTAGCAGCAGGAGTTAATGAGAAAAGTCACACCCATTTAACTTCACATCAGGGTATCTGATTGTGCCACTTCTTTCCGGTGTGGCTGCTTTGTTCTAGTGCATTACCTATAGGTATGTAATTTAGTAACTAAATATATCAGATGTGAAGTACTGTTGCATTAGCATGACTGATCCAGACCAACACAGTCATATCACAAGGAGAGCATGTGGCACCAAGCTGAGGATCATATGATTTAATTTTAAAAAGAAAATAAAACAATGAATGCAACCCAATTGCCAAAGTTGTTTCTGTTTCCCATTTCTATTGTCTCCAGGGACTAAGCACAAAACTATGCTGGAAGCTCGGAATGGAAGTGGAACCATAAAAGCCTTTCCCCGGGCAGGCGTAAAAGGCAAAGGACCTGTGAATAAAGGAAACACAGGCCTTCAGAACAAAACATTTCACTGTGAAATATGTGATGTGCACGTAAACTCCGAGACACAACTGAAACAGGTACTCAKCCAGCTTTCAGAGTGAGAATATTCGGCTGTTCTTTGTTTTCATGGTGGTAAAGTACCAACAGTCAGCACATGTCAATGTAACAGTCTGTGTCCAAACACAACTTACAGATTTGTCCATTGTACTTGGCTGCCATGCTGTTGTTTTTTTTTGATTATGATTTTCCCTTTCATGGAATAAGTTTTCTCAAAAGCTCTCAATTWTACATATTTGTTAAAAAGTTATAGAAGGTGTAAGTTGCAACATGTTATAACTAACTTTAGTCTGCTGGAAGTGTCATGAGTTAATAAATTCTGTCATTTCATGTACATTTCGTGTACTGCATGATGTTTGCCTTGACAAAGATGTGAAGGTGGATGAAGGCAGTTMGTTCACAGAACACTGAGTAACCTGCTTAGAAATGTGGGATGGAGAGGATTTCTAATATTTTTTAATCAATGTTTCACTCTAACTGAGAAGCATGACCTCTAAATTGCAATTACACTAAGTTATGTCCAGTCATTCTTCAGATGATCAAAGCTTCCTGAAAAACACTTAGCTTGATTCCATATGCCTTTTGGAATTAAATACTTGTTAAGGAACTTTACAAGAATGAAGATAAATTCGGTAATGGACATTAGCAATACTCTTTCTTCTGGTTTCAGGAAAAAAAAATCCAGTTCTTTGTCTTTTTATTCTGATAATTCCCTTGAAAATGAAAATCAAAGCAAAAATACAATTCTGAAAAAGGTCCCTTACTTCTAATACTCCAAGATAATCTGTGTAGAAATACACTTATAAAAATCTTATATATCTTATGAAGAAGACAAYAGATTTTGTGCATTTTTTTCTAACATCAGTTAGTCTGATATATAACCATCTCACTAGGATCTCCAGGCAGCTTAGGGATTTAAACAATTTTGTGACCTTATTTTTTTCCCCAAATAGAGGATGCTTTAGTAGCTAATATTCTTTAAAAACTTTCTATCARCAGTGGATTGAATTTGATGGGTGTTTTGTAGAGTTAGGGAGGAGTTTTTCAAAGGCTTCTCTCTTTAACCTGACTCAAGTCCCGTTGAGGTTAGAAAAGGTAGGAAAATATTTGACTGTAGTGGAAGCAGAGTTGAACTTTGGACTGATGAAAATTACAGTCCCAATATGTGGTATGCAAAGGATGGTGCAAATCGCAAGAGAACCTATTCCTTTTAAATAGTGAATTAGTCAAAATAATAGTGTTGTAGAGCAAAAGCCTTTAGTATTGGAGCAGTAATCTTGTGTAAAGCAGAACSTGAAGTGATCTGTTGTGGACCTATCACCCTTTGTTTTTTCTTTTCCCATCCCAAATGTATTTTAACAGCACATAAGCAGTAGAAGGCACAAAGACAGAGCTGCTGGGAAGCCACCAAAACCTAAATACAGCCCGTACAACAAACTCCAGAAGGGAACACATCCCCTAGGGGTAAGCCAATCACCTTTTTATTCGACTTTTATTTTAATCCTGATATGTAGGRTTTTTAGAAAACATGAGTAGTGAAGTGTTTAAAAGTTGAGTAATAGTGTAAGCCATTGGAGTACCAAGTATATGAAGGAGCCAGTGGAAGCCCAAAAGGGTTTCCTTTGCATACTTTGGGGGGTCTTCACTACAATCTGTGGATCCTTGCTTTTGTAGCTACTCTGAATAACCTCAGAAAAGCTTGTTGAAAGGTCATTAGAGAGCAAGAGACGGAAAAAACATCCAGATGTCAAACAAGACTTTTCCAGTTTTCACCAAAGACAATGTGACAACGTAACTAAATAAGACTCTATGAAATATAAACCATCCATTCTGTCCTTACTTAGAGAATTGTTGAGATAACAAGTAAAACTTGTTTAAATTAAGTTTAAATTATAAAAGTCCATCTCTGCTTTTGTTTGAGTGTTTCAGAACTATTCTTGTTGTTTTGACTGCCAGGATAAACTATCTGAAACACAATTCTTACTAGYCCTGAAAGCTGAGAAAAAGGTTTACTTTTTAACAAAAAAAAAAGCCCTCTAGGATGCTGCCACTGGTTAAGAATCAGCTTATATTGTGGGTGGGATCGTGAAACATCTGACATTAATCTTCTCCATCAGTTAAACTGCATGAATGTTTTATCTGCTGTTTTGTTGGGGTTTATAGATGGTTCTGGCAGAGGGAGGATGTTGATTCATTGTCCTCATGGAGATTAACCCCTTGACCATCTTCCCTGATAACAAGCAGAATATGGAGGGGTTTTTTGTGTGAAAACCAATTTCTCTTTCTGTTTAGTTAAAGTTTTTTTCCTGGCAAAAGAAACTGTATCCTTCTTGAGGCAGCCCTCATGAGTGGCATATTCATGCAGGATTCAGTTGTAGAATAAAGTGGTGAACCATTCTGGTAGATCCACCAGTAGGGAAATAACCCCTTAGGTTATTAGTTATTAAGGTTATTAAACCCCTTAGGGTTTCTCAGTAATCCACAAGAAAAATCAAGGTCTTCAATACAGATGATACTGAAAGGAATAGTAAATGTGTAATGGGGTAAGTAGGATATGGAGTCAGGAAAGCCTTTCTGACAGGATTWTTATTTTGTTAGGAAATTCGTTGCTTTTCAGAGGATAAAAACAACTATTACATTGTTGTTGTTGTGCACAGTTCTCTACCAATTTATGAAGTGGTGATTTCTGAGAACTCCAGCCAAGRTTCAGGACAAATAAAGGCAGCGTGTCCTTTTTCTGCTCCCTCAGTCCCAATTGCTCACAATATGCAGGTCAGGCTAGAGGGCATCAAAGAGGCAAAAGGGATTAAAGAAGGAGAGAACAAGCCAGCGATAAATGAACTGAAATGTGTAGCAGAATGGTGGCTTTAATAAGAAAGGAGAGACCAGTTCTCCATTTAGTCTTTTTGGTATTGAATATAAAAACTGCTGGAATTGTTGTCACTTGAAGGGCAGAATGGCAGAAAYGCAAAGCCAGAGATWTTCTAATTTAACCTTTAATTTAATGCTCTTTACTTTTTTTTACTCCCTCTCCCTAGCTGAAGGATTAATTTTATTTTTATTCTCCTGAGGTGGTTTTGTGGGGGTTTTTTTTTTGGTGGTTTTTATTTGTTTGTTTGTTTGATTGGTTGAGTGGTTGATTTGTGGGTTTTTTTGGGTTGAGTTTGGGTTTTTGGTTTTTTTTTTTTTTCTGTTCTAAGTAAGACTGTAAGAGGTATTTATTAAAAAATGTAAGGAAGGAGGAAAAATTCATATGCTCAGCAAGGGAAGAACACAGCTTGGATCAGTAAAACTGATCAAGAAAAAGATCAGGTCACWGCTTTTTGTAGGCACCATGAGGAATTTTGTATCTAACATTTATTATATCCTTTTGTAAGAGAATGACAGAATTTTATTTGATCTGAGTATATTTCCCCCCGAGCTTTAAAGGACCTGGAAGCCAACAGAGTTGCCAATAGGTTTAGGGGAAAGTGAAAATCCTCTGTCCATGTGGCTAGTGAAGAACCAACAGACTTTTTGGAATATGGTGATTTTATAATGATGGAATTCAATGGTGGTTCRTGCCTGAGTCTCCTGTCCTTACTTTCAGATTATTCACTCACTAGGGTTCTGTTGAGTTGAAAATGTCAGAGTGATGTTGTACAAGTTAATTACTTGAAAATCCCTTTCATGGAAAGGATGAGAAATTGTGTTTCCCTGTAAGTAAGAAGTGTCCATACTTACACTGAGATGCCCCAGCATGGCACATATATTCATATTCTGCATATTCAATACCACATTTTCAGCTTTAGGCCCTCTGCAAGAGGCCTTAGGTCATGCTAGGACACAMCAAAGTCCATCAGAGACAATGGGAACTTTTCTCTGTCAGTAAATGAAGTTTATCATTTAACTTATCTCAGAGTTATAAAAACAGGACAACAAAGGTATTCAGGCTCCTGGCATTTCATTAGAAACTTGAAATTGCACTAAGAACTGAAGAAATTTATAGAGGCTACTCTGATGTTCATTTGTATGCATCCCAAATGCAAATTCTCTGAAATTTTACCGGACCTCTTGTAAGTATTTTCAATTGGTCTGGGAAAAACTTCAGGGTTTGGGTTTTTTTTCGTTTTTTAGGGAAACTCTAAATGAGGGGTATTTGTATTTGGTAGTCCACAAGATTTAAAATTATGTCATGATGTAAAATGTTTTTTAAGAAGAAACCTCAGTGACAGGAACAAAGATATCATAGTTTGACAGAATACTACTTTAAAATATTTGCCACATTTTCACAATCCTTGTAAGAATGAACAGTATCTAAGTGGAAAACAGTTGGAAACGTTGAAGACACGGCAAGATTAAATAGGGCAGCACCCATTTAAACCCACGAAACATGAGAGATTTTAATAACCTGTGAAAAATAACATTGGTTTATTTAATTGGTTTATTAGAAGCGGGAACTAATAATGAAGAGTGGTATGGAGATCTTAATTTTAAGTAGAATTTGCATCTTAACKATTAAAACAAAAGTATCTTCTTAGTCAGACCAGGGAATAGGATTTGTTTTCATTCTGCTCTGCTTTCTAGCATAAAGCTGTCCAGATGGAGGTCGATTAATTGATATCTAATTTTTTGTTCTTTAATTGTTGCAGGGTGCATGCAATTTTACTTTGGTGCAGATTCCCCAGCCCCATTTTAGATTTGCTTTGATTTCTAATCCCATATTAAATTATAAGTGTCAGCAATAAGGTGTGAACACTGAAACTCTTTGTCCCCAACCCAATCCTTGTACACTTGTCCAGTGGGCAAGGTCATATTCCCTGTTAAAAGTCTGTAGCTCATAGAGTCAGTAGCTGCCACAAAGCTTTTCCTGCTTGATTTTGCACATGTAATCTAAAGTCAAGCTCCCTCTCGTGTAGCTAACGGGAACAAATGATATCTCTCTGTTTGTTTTCTCTTCTTCCCCACAGGTAAAATTAGTATTTTCAAAGGAACCTTCAAAGCCGATGGCCCCACGAATCTTACCAAATCCGCTGGCAGCTGCAGCAGCAGCTGCTGCTGTGGCTGTGAATTCCCCGTTCAGTCTTCGCACAGCCCCGGCAGCCACCCTTTTCCAGACTTCAGCACTTCCTCCAGCACTCCTCCGACCAGCTCCTGGGCCCATAAGGACCACCCACACTCCTGTGCTGTTTGCTCCTTACTGAACTCCAAACAGGAATTCATTGTACTGCAATAATTTTTCAAATCAAAACAAACAAAAAAAAAAAAAAAAAAAAAAAAAAAAAAAAAAAAAGAAAATCAAGAACATTGAACTATGCAGTGTTTATTTATAGTTTAAAGTATATATGAAGAGCCAGAACTTTTGATAGAGAACTGAACAAATTCTGAAAGGGGGAATGGGCAGTATTTTCTCCAGATGAGAACATTCCTCTTGAGCATTGATCGTTTTAGAACTGATCTCCAGCATTGACTTGTAGTGACATATAAAACTTATAAAGCCTTTTGACTGTGCGTTTTGGCACATATTTCCCTGCAACGTCTTTCCTGCTTTATGAAACAACTTACAAATTTGTCTAAAGGGCATTAACTGGTTCCAATGTATATAAAATACTTTATTCTGTAGATTAAAGAAGAAGGAAAAAAGAAAAGAAACACTGTGAATAGTAGTACCCTTACCAATCCTCCTGCCAAATCAGCAGTTACTGGGTATTTATCTGAACAAAAGTAGCTACAATAGATGTCTTGTAAAACAGTAGTATTGTGTCTCTATCTATGCCACTAGGTTTCTAACTGAGTTGCAAAAGATAAAATGAACAAAATTATGTCACTTTGGTAAGTAGTCAAAAATTATTACAATAATGTGGAGCTGTTCCTGGTGAGCAAAGTTTACCTCACTCACAGAAGAATGGGCATGAAAACAATCTAGGTTAGGGCAAAGAAAGTGATCAGGAAGATCTAGTGGGGAAAAATAATTCATATGCTGTACACAGAATGGGTCAAATGTTAATTTAACTGAGAAAGCATGTGTACACTGTRTAAAGTGTAATACATACAGGACAGATCAATGTTTAGGAAATAACAGCAGACAACAACAAATATGCTCTTGTCATGGAACAGGCCTGAAACTTCAGTGTTGAGCAAAGGAAAGACACAAATCGGTTACACAGAGTCCTAACTGACAAATGAGAAACAGGAGAGAAATCCCAGTCTCATTTAAGTCAGTATAAAGTTCCTTCTGACCGCAGTGTAGCCAGAATTTCATCCCAAGAATGCCACATATTCATTTTATATCACACCAGTGGGACTGTCCGTAGGTACAGGTAATATTTTTTGCAGTAGGGTTAGTCTTAGAAACAGACTTATTCTCTTGTTTTATTTCCTACTGATGTGATATAAAATGTCTTAATATACCTATAAAATATAAACAGTGACAYGTGAGATACATATTACGAGATAACTGCACATCATGGGTTTGGAACAAATACAACTTTTAGGATCTGAAGGGACCCTCGAATTCTGTAGCTGACCGTTGTGTATGGACAGCTTAAAGCCTTATATATTTACTGTGAGGCTTAAAGGGGTTGACTGTGTCCCTTTAAAGTAAGATTTATCAGGGGTATATATAGATATATTGTATATATGTTAGAGTAAGAAAAATAACTTATAAACAGAAAATCTACTATATAAAATAATTATATAACCATTGAGTTTCACATGTGGGTCATTAAGTGGTAAGTAACAAACAACCGAGAAAAAAATAGACTTCTTGAATCTGATCCTTGCTGCCTGCTTTTTCCCATAGGGAGCTGAAAAGTATCTATTAATATTATGGAGTGTGCTGCTGAGTCACATGCAACCACTCTGATGTGTAGCTAAGTGAAATGCCTACCATGCATTTACGCAGAATAAAATTAAAAACCATAATTTAAGTTTAGATGGGGAAATTATTTGAAAGATTTTATTAAAAGGCAGTAATGCAAAATATTGACCATGTGGTCGCTATATAATGCTGCCTGTGGTTAATATGGACAGGTGGGAGATATAAAGGATGGGAATATACAGCACTTTTGACTTGCAGTTYATCAGTGAGCCTTCCATATACATTCGTATTTGCCATTTTTTAAACCTCTCCGCATTTAGATTTTATAAAAAATATATACAGAGAGAGAAAGAAGAGGTTCCATGGATATCTGTGTCCAAAGAATTCCAAAGAGATGCATTTATTTATCTAGAAGTATTAAAATAAGTTCTATATTATGTATTTGTATTTCATCCTGTTTATTTGCAAACGTTTGTGCCTTGAAATGAAATGAGCTTTTRTTTATATTTAATTCACACCTATGTAGCCATGAAAAAGACATGATGGTGATTCCAGGGCTGATTACCAGCTGGATTGCTTTGGCYTAACTTTCAAAACAGCAGGATGAGTAAGTTCCTGAAGCCAAGTTTAGACATCTAAATARCTAGGGGCTGACATTTAAAAGGGCTCTCTACTCTACAGCTCCCAGTAAAGAGGCAGTAAATAAGCCAGCCTTCAAAACTTGCTCCTCGCACTAAATTCAGAAAATGTTTCATTTTATTTGGGTACATGTAAGATACAGTGGACTTGGTCTTTTAAGCCTGCTTTCAACCTCCCATCTGTTTGCAGAAGMTGTAGTGCCATTGCCAGCTGCGTTCAGATTCCTCCTTGAAAAGGGCAGCAGCTTTCAGCTGTGCTCCATGAACCACCATTTGTCTCCAGAGCCTTTTGTAAGAGCCTATGTAAGAAAGATCTTGCCAAGRGAGCAGAGTAGGACTCACATTTTGGGAAGGTAGAAAATCTGGGCAGGCTCCCTTTTCCCCTTGAGAAATCATGCAGATGGGAAAATGGGAGATGGGCAAATATCCTGAYGGCTCTCCTGCACAGCCTCCTGGTGCACGGACACCTGCTGTGCATCCTGCCATGGTGTTGTGATGCCATCAAAATCAACAGGCTGATCCTTGCCAAAACGTGGCCTGTGGCATGTATGGAGGCACAGTACTAAGGGCAGAGTTAATACAAATTTTGCTAGAAATAAAAGAGTGTCATTCCAACTACTTACATCAGCTAACTTGCAATGACACCTTCAGTTTTCTTGGACCTCTTTTGTCACAGTGCTCTATGGAACAAGTTTTTGTTCACACAAGTCTCTTAAATTTCAGCTGTAAACAACAAACTCAATTTTTTTTTTTTTTTTTTTTTTTTTTTGTCTCTTACTCACTACCTAATAAAGGATAAAGCCTAAATGTTAGAATCTATAGTGGATTTTCTGTGCCTTTCTGCTCCACCCCTGTCTCGGTCAGTACCAAGCCAACGCACCCAGGACATCAGCACAACAGTTCCATTATATATATCTGTCAAGGAAAATACTGGCACAGCAATCTGATGGGGCAAAGAGARCTTCTGGTCAAGGGTATGTCCACAGCAGATGACAGAGGAGGTAGCAAACAGAAGACATGTTACACCAACTTGTCAATACATCCAGTGTGGAGAGCACTATAAAAGAAAAAATTGCCATCATATTTCACATTACCATAGCACTTCAGGGCCAAGAGGAAGCCTAAAGCACAAGGAAGCAGATCATTTCATCGAAGACACAGTCACTCACTGGAATGACAGTGTGAAATCAGCCTGCGGGGAAGTGGCCGGGTAATGAACTCAGAAAAACAATCAGGTTCAGGGATGTTTTCTTAAGTTCTGTTYAAAGTGTTAAAGAATGACTATTCTCCTCTGACCCCAAGAGATGGTATTTTTGTGGGAGGGATAGATATATATTTATATTTTTATGCTATCTGCATTTTTCCAGCTATCTATGGCTTCAAACCTTTGTTCTGAAGGATCATCATTACTCTGAACCATGAAATTAGTTACCTTCTTGAAAACTGCTGTAAAAGCTGATGTGAGAGGTCAGTAAGAAAATGGTATAAATATGATGATTTAAAATGAAAAAWAAAGGACGGGCCATGTCAAGGAATATTGTATTTGAAAAGTATACATCTTTATTTTAAGATAAATTATATAAAATTAAGAATAGCTAAATAAAGTTAATATAACTAGAAGAATTACATCTGTTATTTTAGTACTGAAATATTACAATTGGCTCTGTATTTGAAAAGTTCAAAAGACTTTCTAGATGTTGAATCAAAGCAAGGATGCTGTTGGTAAATTTAGTGTCTCACATTCATWATCTTCCATTTACATCAGGAATACCACAACTGAATGGAGCTGACTTTAGTCACTAGTCCCCAAAGATATAGTMGAGTATTGGCCCCATATTTCCTGAAAACTGAAATCATGCTGCTTAGGAACCCCTGTTTCTGCCTTTTACTCCCCGTAAACACATAGTTTTTAGAGTCTCTCCAAAGTATGCTGAGGAATCTCTGACTTGATGTCTTTTTTTAGCAAAAATAAATATYATTTTGTGAACATTAGACAACACTGAGAAGCATGATCTGAAAATGTTTTCACAATTGTAACATTCTTGGGGCTAAATATGAAGCACAGACACTCAAGTTGTATGGTAGCACAAATCTTTTTGAAAACATGTGAAGTCRGAATCTAGACCGCTTTATGAGTGTCTTTGTTTCAGGGTTAACACTCAACATGAGAAATCTGGTTTTTTACTGACATGTGTCTGAAATTTYATTTCTAAATTCGACTTCAGCACAGCTCAGGCTTCAAGGCTCTAAGCACCCAAAGAACCCAAGAAAATAACAGTGGGCTTCCTGTTWATTGAGAGGCATATGAAAATGTGAGCCTATACTACATAAAATATTAAGTGGTTTTTTATCATCACATCTTCTCCTTTTCTCATTGTTTAGCTGTAAATTCCATTCCTCAGTGCCAATCAGCCATAAAGGAGTTTCTGTGCTGGAATTCAGGACATGGCTAAAAGGAACAGTAATACTGATAAATCCCAGTTGAAATCTCAAAGACACAGTGAAGGGTTTAGCCAAGGACAAGAGCTTTATGGCCTCTCACTCCTACAGGTTTATTAAATTTCAGGACCATTTAGGAGTAAATGTAACTATGTGGAGGATGGTTATTACGTAAGCTGACCCAAAATGTCAGCAGCTGAAAGAGCCTGTGCTCCAGACCGAAATTAAGAATACTATGAAAACCATAATGCTCTTAACTTTGACAGTAGTTGCAAAAATCTTTGATTTCAATAGAGGCAATTTTTTGCTCTTAGTGGCCAAAGCCCTTTGCAGTCATGCTGTTTACTGCAATTAGGWGTCATTCAACTCTGATTCAGAATTGATACTTTGATAAAGCAACTTGGCTGAGCCTGAAACACGATCGGTGGCTGCCTGGTTTGTGTGATCAGCTTCATGCTGGGACCATGCTTGGGTGGTGAAATACGAAGAATTGAAAGAGTCAATGTAAAAAGAATTGGTGGACTAATTTGAACCTTTTCCCTTGTGCAATATACTTAAATGGAAACTTTTGAGGTATGAACAAGTTGGAACATTGAAGAGTTCCTAGATAAAAAAAAGAGAGATCTTGAATGTCATGAGATCTTAACTTTAAAATAATTTTGATGAGAAAGAACTCAGAAGACATYCTTTGAATTAGATAACACAGTGACATGGTAGCAATGGTCTTCACACTCAGCACACTGTCAATACACTGACATTGTGACTGTTCACAGCAGAAATTGAGGATTTGACACCCATGATTAGAAAAMAATGTAGTCAATAATATTCACTGCATAGGTATTGGACACTCAATAATTTTCCTTGGAAATCCATGTAKTCATGTCTGTTTGTACCAGCCAAGATATCACTGAATTTTGTCAACACCTGGGTCTCCAGAAAGGATCTCCATACTTTTTATTTGTTTTTATTACTATTTGATTTTCCTTCTCTGTGTCTTTATTCATTGTCTCATCTCTCATATGAATGAACAGAATCCATAAGATTAAATATACATTTAAGCAGTATATAATAATCAATGCCCTTTTAGAACCATTTGATCAGAGTCAAAAAAATAAGATTTTAAAGCAGTAGAGCCACAGTAATGYTAAAATACTATGGACAGAGAACATGGATACTACAGTGCTCTTTATCTAATCCTAGAGTTTTACGACACAAACAGCTCTTTAATCTTTCATACTTTCCTGAAATTTCCATCTTTTGGGATTCTTCAAAGGTTTAGTTAAATTTAAATGTTATTTCTTATGTTCAGTAAAAACATCTATGTATTTCTGAGTGAAAAGGCAGTATAAAAAAGGATAAAACACACAAACCATTTTCTCACTACAAATTCCTGCAGCATTTGTTAGCGGTGTCAGCCCTTTCTCTGCCTGGCATTTACCATGGGAACTGCTCTCATTGACACATGTATCAGGTGAAAACTGTCAGTTCAAAACACAATCTGTCAAGTGCATGCATTGGTTTGGGGCACAACAAAGTGTGAGATGAGAGAATATAGGCAAAGCTATGCCTTTGTCACAGCTCTTCATTAGAACTCCCTGAAAACTGCCTGGTCCTTGACTAGGAGAGGCAGAGGTTCTAAATGTGGTCATTCTGTTTACAGARGATGTAAATTTGAAAAAAGTCCTGATGTGAGGATTTTTAACCAGYGCTTCAGTGTGGGGGATGATTCCCCCCTCCATCCACCCAAAAGTGTATTYTTTCTTTTCAGACATATTTTCAATGTAGACTTGCCATGATATTATTGCGAGTCAAACTGCTGCCTGAATCTAATTTGTCCATTGGAATAAAACTGTTCATGTCAGTTTTGGTTCCCAGGAGAACCCAGGAATAAAAAATGAAAATGTAATGAGCCTCAAGTTGGGTCACATTTCTTTTTCTTCCTGCAGTTGCTCAAGTCCTATCAGTTTGCTGAAATCTAGGTTTMAATCAAAGAGAAAATGCCTGTTTCTTTCTTCTTCTAGTATTTTTATAGTTTTAGAAAGGGGATGGAAACAACTGTAGTTCTTTACCCAATTACTCACACACTAAATCCACCATGTAGTCAATCCAATACTTGCCCATGTATTGCCTCTCTGCATACACACAAATTTACTTCCCTCCAATCCCTTTGCTAAATCTTATTTTGTGGCTCCCTCAGCAGCATGGGACACTGCAAGGAGCATTTAACAAGCAAAGAAAAACCAAAAGAGCCACTTATGGTGTGTATAATATGGATATAATACAGTACTCCTTTATCCCCTTCAGTGGCATAATCAAACCATGTGGCTGGAGTAAGCCCCTCATTACAGTATTGGCTGCTTTAAATGGTGAGAACTGAAGCCAATTTTGTTGGCTGTGCTATAATTAAGCCTTGTCCCYAACTGTGTGCAGTTCTCTGTTCTCCACTGGGGTATTTTTTATGGCAAGTGAATTCTTGGAATAAAACCTAGAGCTTTTTTCATCTCCTTATACAGCTATGAAAAGCAATATGGGGAAAAAATGGAAACTAGTCTTTCATGTTTTATTGATACCTATGTTCCATCTGACTGTCATGAATTTCACAGTGGCAGTAAATACCTCAGAAACTCTTCAGTTCTGCTCTGTGAGACAGGATGCAGTGGATCACTATTCCGTGCAGCAGATATTTAATGCACAGCRGTATGCAAATCATCTATTCTATGCCACCAACTCATTAAACTCTTTAAACTTGGATAAAAAACCTCAAAACCTACCAGGACCAGGCGAAAGGCACATGGCACATTACATGACGGGGTGTCAAAGAACTGTCAGGAGAACATCCAAGTTTGCCCAACAGCAAGTGCAAGAGAGAGCGGTAGTTCTGGAAATTAGATGTAGGGAAGTCCTTTCTGAACCCAAGTGTGAGAATAAGCGAAATACAYTGCAGCTATTAAGAACTGGAGAAGTTTGTTGGTATCCTTGAATAACGTATTTCCAGCTATGGACAGTCTCCAAMATTGCAGTAAAAGACTTCAAACCTGAGACCAAGTTATTTAGCAGAATAATGAAATATTCTTAGTGCTTACAGATAACCAGCATAAGCCCTTCATTTAGTAGTGCAAGGCACAGTTAAATTACTGGGTACTAATTTACTGTCAGTAGTACCATTGAGTACTGACACTTTTACAAATCTGGCCCTGATCCATTCACTCTTCAAAAACATTGTAAATTTAGATGACATTTTTATAAGTCCAAGAGTAAAATTTCATGGTCTGCTAGTTTGTAATAGTAGTTTTGAC